CACACACACACACACACACACACACACACACACACACACACACACACCCGTACGATACACGTGCACACTGTACGGTTTATGTGTGGGAGCGTGTGAAAAGCGGCGGCCCCCTCCTCTCAGGGAGCACAGGAAGCTCTAGACAATACGGAGGCTTCATGGAGGGTTCAGCTCCACAGCAGCCCGCCTCAGAGCAGGGCCCGGCACCCGATTGGACCCGCGACGCATCCGCTATACGGCTGGATATTTATAAACTTGGGGAAGCTGCAGCTCCGCGCCACGGATTCTTGAGTTTCCTCAGGAGGTGAGCTGATTGGACGGAGCGCGACGGAGTGTCGTAAGCAGGTTAGGTGACATTCACCTTTGGAATCAGAGAGGAGAAAAAAACAGAAGGGGAAAACACTCTGCGATGACGACAGTCTTAATGAATTTCCTGGCAGTCAATCTGCCACCACAAGTAGAAGTGAGTGACGCGCTGACGCTGACCACATGACACTAGTCGTATTGTTTTGATGGCTGAGAGAGAGAGAGAGAGAGAGAGAGAGAGAGAGGGGGCTGCTGAAGGTTTGGAGGGTTCACAGAGTTGTGAGCAGGTGCAGCGTCACACATGTCAATCTGTTTGTGTTCTTGAGGTCGAGTGGGTCTCCAGTGTGATTTCTAAGGGCTTTGCTGCTCAACTCGCACACCTCACAAAGCACACTTAGTACGATCACCGTGCGTCACGCTCCACCTTATTCACGGCAATAGAATTTGAACGTCAATGCAACAAATTGAATTTAGGTATTTGTGTGCGGCGGGCTATTTATTCGCCCTTTTCAAATTCTGATCAGGCCCCTACACAGCGGCAGCACAACACCAGGAGGGCGAGAATGAAAAGAGCAAGAGCAGGTGACTAAAAGACTCAAGTATGTGCAGGAATCCATCACCGTGCTCGAGACAATCACATTAGTCCATTAAAGCTCGTCTTTGTGCTAAAAGGAAGAAAAGGCCCATGAAGCGGTGGCAGTTTATAGCCGTCTTTATAAACACATCGCAGCAAAAATGTAGAGTATGCGGCGGCTGCGGCGGCTCAGCGAGGACCTAAGTGACCATCAATAGCTGGAATTGATGTTGGATTTGTGTCTTTGTAAACAGAAGTCCATTCTAAACTCCGGACAAAGGTTGAGTTTGTTCTAAGTCTTTAAACCTTTGTCATAATCTGCCCATTCATCCAGGAGAGCAGGAAGTCAGAGGATGTAGCAACATCAAGCCACTCTGCTTTTTAAGTCACGTTAACAAACTCAATCCACAGATTATTAGTCGCCAACTATTTAGAATATTGATAAAAAAACAACTTAATTTTTAAGTAAAAATGCCCCGAAATTCAGATTGCTTCTTCTCAAATGTGAATATTTGCTGTTTTTTTGTCTTCTATTAGAGTAAATTGAATGTTTTGGGGTTTTGGACTTTTGGTTGGCACAAAGCAAAAACTATTTAGATACTTAAAACTTGGGCTTTGGTAAATTGCAGAGGGCATTCATCACTACTCTCTGACACTTAATGGACCCATTGAGTGATTGATAATGAAAAAATAAACACTCTTTGCAATGCAATTGTTTTTAGCTGTTGTAGGGCTCGACTAACGTATTATTATTATTTTCATTATCAGCTGATTACGTTCTTAATTAATTACTTGATTGTTGGGTTTACAACTGGTCTAAAAATAGTAAAAAATGTGCCTCGAATTGCTTGTTTTGTTCAACCAACAGTCACGAGCTCAAAGAGGTTCAGTGTCAATGTCACAAAAAGCAGAAAATCCTCAAAAAACTTTTGCTTGACAAATGATCTAAACCGTGAATCCATTATTAAAATAGTGGATGATTATTTTGTTGTCAGTTGACTTATCGATGACCAAAATGCTATTGTGACAAATAAAACAGCATTTTATTGGCGATTTCCTTCTTCGCGGTTTTCTCTTCATTGAACACAGGATGGATAGAATCCTTTCAAAATAAGTCCAATCAAGTCCAATAATTTCCATTATTGATTATTACCATACATATATAGATATGGCAGCAGATCCTCACAGCGGAGCAGCTGGTCCCAGACACAAGAGGTTAGTTTGAAAAGTGACTGAAAGGATAAATCGATTATGAAAACCATTAAAGACGAGTTATTGACTTATTGTTTCAGCTCAAGCTGCACTTGGGAGAGTATAGTGTGACTAGAATGCTTTCAAATATGTACACACTTATGAATACATACAGATAACATGTGAAAAAAGACTAACAATAACTGTAGTGTCCATTCCTGGTACAATGTACTCAAGGATAGTAAACTCATGTGATTTGACTCGTCAGATGACTTCTGTACACATGGGAAAGCTATGAGTGTATTTCACCTCAAAGCAGTTAGACGCTGTGTGTGTGTGTGTGTGTGTGTGTGTGTGTGTGTGTGTGTGTGTGTGGGGGGGGGTATGGAATTAGTTGCTCATCAGACTGACGCGAGTTAATCTGTTTGACACACAGTGAGATTCTCCCCCACTTCCCTCCAAAGTTGGGCCGTTCATGTGTGGGCGCTGAATTGCCTCCGTTGGTATGCAGGCCGCACCTGAGCACAGGTGGCACTCCCTACATGAGTCAGCGGGTCACTGATGACTAAAGAAGGATTCACTGTAACGATGGTGAAAGACAACAGCAGCGGCGGCGGCGGGTTCCTTCAGAGAAATATAGTCTTATCAACATCCGCTCTCAAGGATAAATACCTGGCTCCCACACTGCGACGGGCCAAAGCCGGTGTCTGACAGTGAGTTTTGTTGCACTGCATTGCATCATTCAGGGTCCATGCAGTCTCTCTTAGCCCTTCTCTTAGTCTCCACTGTGACCGTTCACATGGTCGCCACTCAAAGCAGCACTAAGCGGCGGTTACAGTTTTACTCTCGGCTGGAACGCTTTTTGTTGACCACTGCTCGGTTCCCCCCCAGCGGCGGTTTTGGCCCGCCGCTTGTCCCAGAGGTCCGTCCTGCTCCCCCCCCCCCCCCTTCCTTGTCTGTGCCGTCCACAGAGACACGGAGGGACATTTCCTGTGTGAACCAACACCCAGACGCACACAGTAAAGCCATCGCAGATAGGAATGTGGTGTGCGTTCGCTTGGGCAGGACAGTTCTCAGAAGTAAATCGATGCCACTAATATCAGCATATCTGTGTATTCTAGACAGGAAGTTTACTGGACGGCCAGGCACGTACACTCGGGCAATTTGGAGGGGTGTGTGTGTGTGTGTGTGTTGGGGGAGGGAGGGGGGGGGGATTAGAGAAGGCGGGGTGAAGTTTCCCCATAGTCCCTTAGCAACAAGGCTCTCTGGCGAGGCCTCCAGAATGTACTGCGGTTTACAGAAGAGATAAACATTGACTTTGCCACCCGGAGAAGTAAATGTGATTCCAGTGATGGAACACTGCACGACTTAAAACACAGATCAGACAACGCGGAAAACAAACAGGAAGGCTCCGGGGCACATCGGCAGACATTATGTTCACTTCAACGACTCAATTAGAGCGGAGCCACGGTAGCCGAATGTTAGGAAATCCCACGACATCGCAGCTTAACGACCAACACTGTCATTTGCTCTGTTCATTTAGGAACTCCGATTCCTTTTTCCATTTCCTATCTCACGCTGAAATGTAAACCAGGAGCCTTCATAGTGTCTCACATGCAATTTACTCACATATCATTAATCCAAAGAACCTCTAATGGATTGGCTGCACATGAAGGCCTCACAGTGAGCACACAGTATGTATAGTGTCGGGCTTTTGGTGCTGCACAGATGGAAAAAACAACAGCGGGGGAATGAAAAGACGTCTCTGTGAGGGTGTGAGAGTGGAAGAAAGTCAACTGGAAAACCGTGGAGAGGACGTCTGTGGCTTTAATTGACTAAACTGGCGAGGTGAATTCTTGGCTTTTTCTTTTTCTGGGGTCAAGCTGATATTCACAGCTTCAGACGTGTTACTTAAATCTCAACACACACAACTTGATTTAAAAAGGCCACTCCAAACACAGCCGGGGCCATAGCTGCAGTGCCGCTTATTAATAGGTCCTATAGGGCCAGATACATCCGCTGTGACGGACCAGGAGCCATCGTGTGCTGCCTGTCTGAACAATATAACCACATGATGTCCAACACAGATGGTGGCTGTAACTTTGAGGTGGGGGGGGGGGACTGAGTGAATGATACAAGCACATGTACTTCAAAAACCATAAAGAAAACCAGGAGCCAATGAGTTCCGGATGAGCCTTCTTCTACACGGAAATAAACACTTTAAATTAGCAACACAAACAAACACAATGTTGCTTCTTGTGCGCGCGCGTGTGTGTGTGTGTGTGTGTGTGTGTGTGTGCGCGCGCGCGCGCGCGCTCTTGCGGAACAATGAACGGGCTTGTTTCATCTTCTCCAAGTGCACAGGCCTGGCCGTGATTTCTGGTCCCATGTTAACAGCACAGCCTCCCAAAAATAAAATAAAAAAGAGGCAATGTTTGTCTGGTTTAAGCCTCACCTTTATGAGGTATTTGGTATTTTATTTGATATATTAGACTCTTCTGGCGTCCCAGCGACACTTTGAAAACAACAAGTTATTTGTATTAACAGCTAAATCATGTTACTGTCCCGCTGAAGCGCACCGAGCGCGTACCAGATAAGTAGCTCTGTCCGAAGGTAAACCATCATTAACACTTTAATAGCAATACTGTGACAGACTGCCGATGTAATACAGGTGTGTAAAATACACACGGGTGAGTATTCGGGGGGTTTTATTGTCGTGTTTACTTACAGAAGGTTTCCCGACCACCGGATCGAAGTTCATCTTGGGAACTTCGAGAGGAGAGAAATCCCGGCGAGTGCGCGTTACTAAACCGAACCAGGTTTTAAAGTCTCTTTAACAAAACACACAAACAAAACAAAACCCAGCGCGCAAGTCCAGCAGTATCACTATCCGTCGCCCGGGTTCTCTCATCAGTTTTGTCGCCACTGACACAACTTTTAACGCGTTTTTCCTGAGAGCTGAGAGACTCGCAGCCTGAGCAACACTGAAGACTTTTTCTTTTTCCTCGCCTTGGAGCTGCGCGTGACGTCAGACTTGACCCAGGAGCCAATCACAATGCTTCAAACTGAATAATAATGAGGTTGTTAAACAGGGGTGGAAGAAGTATTAATACCTGGAATGTAACTAAGTAGCCTACAATTACTCCGGTATTGTACTCGAGCATTTTGAGGTACTTGTACTTTACTTGAGTATTTTAATCTTATTTAACTTTATACTTCTTCGCCACTATATCAGAGGTACATATTGTACTCACTACATTTGTCTGACAGTTTTAGTTACTTTTCAAGTTGACATGTTTTTCATACCCTTCCTGTCCAGTGTTGAAATGGAAATTCTCCTTATTTTAATTAAACTCTTGGATCAGCTGCTGCATAGTCACAGAGCTGAAAACAGGCTGTTTGTGGTTGTCACAACTAGACAACAGGATATAAAGGAGTTAAAATAATGTCAACCAGCAGTAATATTAAATCAGAAACATCAGATATAGTAGTAAAACACTGACAGGGAACATTTTACTGCACAGTGAGTACTTTTACTTTTAATATTTCAGCACATTTTGCTGATAATACTTCCACACTTTTTCTTAATAAGGTTCTTAATGCTGGACTTTTACTTGTGGTGTATTTTTCAAAGTGTGGTATTTGCACTTTTACTTGAGTGAAATCTGAGTACTTCCTCTACCACTGCATACCACAATGTATAAATACTTCACTTAAGTAAAAAAAAAAAAGTATGAGCATCAAATATACATAAAGTATAAGTATTCACTGTCCAGAAGGTTCAATTTCAGAATAATATACTGTATATTGCATTAATTGATGCATGAATCACTTTGGTGTTGCAGCTGGTAGAAGAGGGACTCGTTTTGAGAGGACCAACCTCTTGTCTTTACTTAACCTGTAATAGTACAACATTCATTTGTTGATAGTATTTTGTATTATCGATCTGAATCTGCAAAGTAACTCAAGTTAGAAAGTAAATGTAGAGTAAAAAGTATTAATGGATGTGAAGAGGAAGTATAAAGAAGCAGAAGATGGAAATACTCAAATAAAGTAAATACCTCAAAACTATTTTTGCTACTTTACAGTTTGCAGCTATTTCTGTGCAGTAAAACATGCAGCACTGACTTCGTTTACAATGGAAGCAGACTTACAATTCATACGGTGTTTTGATCTACATGATGAGTAACTCACCCCAACCACCGCAGCCATTAACCAGCCGCTGTGATGTGTAACATACCAGTAATAACTAACTAATGTGCAACAAGCTGAAGCACCACTGAATGAATGAATGACTTTTTTCACAAATGTGCAGACACTTTATGGGAATAGCTTTAAGTTTAACCCAGAGAGAAAAGGAACTATTTTGTTTTTGCACTTTAAGAACTTTGCAGTTCATAAAGAGTACATAAACTACCATTTAATGGCACCATGACATGATTCCACTGTTTGTACAAGCCTATATCAAACATCAAACATCCTCCCAAATGTGGTTCCTGCTGACAAAATCTTATCTAAAGTGGGTCTCAAGCATGTCTGTCCGGGGAGGAGAGAGCGGAAGATAGTTTGGGCAAACCTTCACTAGACCATTCCAGGATAATTAGCAAAGCAAACAAACAAGTAAACAAACAGAGCCAAAGAACTAGTACAGATAGAGAGAAGCTAGGTCTGCACTTAGTCAGACAGTGTTGTGATGAAAGAAGGATTACGCAATATTTTGTCTGGTATGTGTCTCACTTCTCATTTTGCCGATTACTTAAATATCTTGTGAATTCATGATAGTGAGGTGAGGTAATAGTATTACAATCAGTGTGCCAGTTAGTATGGAATACATTCCTCGGTGAGGAGAATGTTGATGAAAAGTGTGTGATCCAGTCACATCGGAGATGCTGCTCATCGTTGGGCGTCTAAAAATAAGAGATGACCTCTGTTGCCCGGCAGCTAAACATCCGAGGAGAAATACTTCTGCGGCAGTTTCTCACACGACCGTGTTGTTGTTAACTCGGAGCAAACTGCAGAGTGCAAACAAGGTAGTCTCGGAGTTTAAGCTCCGAAAAGTGGGAGGAAAAGAAAAGTTAGGAGCTTTTTGGAGCTAAAAAAAGAAGCAGGGAATAACACAAATAGTAAAGATATTCAGTTGTGTGCATTGGAAGAGGGTGATGAATCAGACTTAACACACATCATTTCTGGAACAAACAACACAGCATCCAGCTCCACAGCAGATGCATCTCATCTCCTCCTCACAGAGTTGAACGTGTCCCAATTAAAACTATCTAGGAAATCTGTATCTTCCACTTTGGAGCACATCCTGTGCTCCTCCTCCTGAGGTCACCGACTACGTGCTCAAAAACAGGAAGCGTATGATTGAGTTATTTGCGGGCTTATCCTGAGCAAGTCAGTATTTATGGCCACTGGGTTGATTGGTTCAGATAGCACACTCGTGCAATAACAAATATCAGCAAAAACTCTCAAATTCATCATGTATGATTTGAGGGAGAATGTTTGACTTTGCCGACGAAGGAAGTTAGTTAATTTGCATATCCTGTATGGGAGCAGTGTGATGGCTGTGTGTGTGTGTGTGTGTGTACGGCAGATGGTGGCGAGTTGGAGAGTTTTTTTTTTCACAGAAGTGACCTGTGGAGGAAAAGGCAGAAAATAAAGGGAAGGGAAACCTTCCTGAGCGTCAGTGACTTATCTTGTGACGCCTGCTGGGTATTGTTTCACTTGCTGTTTAGGAAGGTTGAAAAAAAACAAAAAAAACACAACGACAAGGAGCTGAAAAACTGAATGTAAGTCAAAAGCCATGAAGTGGTTTTCTTATTTAGGGCTATTTGTATAAACGGAAGCACACAAAAAAAGTCCCTTATTTCACTACACTCTGACTGTCGCATACTTCCCATAATTGATTTTGATTTGATCTTGTTATGCAATTTAAAGAAAAATGCACAGCAGTGACATCAAGGCTGCATTAATGGCAGAAATGGACATTGTGTAAAAGAATAAATCCGCATTCTTTGAACAGCAGGGACACGACAAGGACAGCGGCCTCTCATCACCTCGACGTCTCTGTTTGAGATAAGACATGTGGGTCATTAAACTTCACGCCTACTCTTTTCTATCCATGGCATTTACGCCCCCGACGGCAGCCATATTTGTAAAAAGGAGCTAATGCGATTGTGCCCCTATGCACATTAGTTTCTACGAGAGCTCTCGAAAATGACAACAACAACAACATCAACAGCCAGAGCGGTCACGACAGCCTGTTCACAGTCAACAGTGAAAGGTCACGGCCTGAATGTGTTGCTGAGATGAGGGGCCGTGGTCTGACACAGGAGATGAAGATGGAGATATTGTTTATGTCTGTGGAGCATGACATCCATGCTCTTCCTTCTCACGCATAGAGTGATCACAAGTAGAGGGAAAAGGCATCAACATGTGTGGTGTTATAAATGACTCTGAGAAATGGATGGAACTTATCTATTAACAATGGATCACATGAGCGACCCACGGGGAATTATCACCCGACTCTGCAATCCTCCTCATCTCTACGGAGCATTTTAGCCTCTTTCGTCTCATTGTTGTGGTTTTTACGGCTCAGCACTAATATGTCGTTTCACTCTTCTCTGTTGAAAACGAGACTGGAGAGTTTGCTCCTATGCTAGCAGTTCTGTGAGGCTGTATGGGCAGCAGGGGGGACTGAAAAGGGAAGACATTGTGGAAGTGCCTTAAATGTGCATTCTTGCTAACAGCCAGCAGGGGGCGACTCCTCTGGTTGGAAAAACAAGTCTAACATGCTAATGCTTAAAGGGTATAATGTTTATCATGTTCCCCATCTTAGTTTAGCATGTTAGCACACATTTGCTAATTAGCACTAAATTCAAAGGCCAACAGGGGCTGATGGGAATGTCATTAGTTATGCATGTATTTGGTCTGTGAACGTATTGTTTAAAACAGAAGTGTTTCGAGATGACAAGTCAGTTGATCACTTATTTTTATGAGGTCTGTACCAGATTCATGGTAATCTATCCAATAGTTGTCTAGACATCTCAACATTTCCGTGTCTAAATAGTCTTAAAACCCACTGCACACTACCTGCTCAGCACCTAAGTGCAGATAGAGAAAGTAAACGACTAGCCGACGAACATAGCGCAACATTTAGAATCTTAAGAGCCAGATGTTTCCCTGTGGAGACCAAAATCGGAGCGAAAAAAGAGTACACTTCAGACTTACATTTCCCAGATGGCCACACTACAGCTCCAGATAAATGCTAATGTGTCTCCATATCTGCTGGATGTGTGAAATAGACAAGTGTTTGCGAACAAGGTTGTCTTATCAACTTTAAGGTTGATAATACGTCTGTGCTATATTTACATCTTGGTTCAGCTGGCCCCAGACACTTAATTAAGCGTGTACAGCCACGTTAGCGGCTCTGTGTGTGCTTCGAGCTAAATTCTGATGTCAGCCTGTTCATCGAAAGTGCTAATTTATTATATACACTGCAAAAAAATGTTACAAGTCACATACTTGTATTCTGCCTTCAAGAATTAGATTTGTTAAAGCAAGTCCATTCTTTACATTTTATGTGAAAGTAAAGACTGAATTAGGCAGACTTCTGCACCGACAAATTGGTTGATTTTTCAAAACAGAATGAATAATAAAGGACAGAGAACTTCCACCTGTTAGAGCAACTTTTGTGTATCTTTAAAACAATGAGCTCTTAGTACCAATAGGAAAAAATGCAGCTCATGCCATGTTCCTAAAGCCATTTGACAAAAGCAGAGGACAAATAGTGTGGGAGTTCCTGGCAAAATATACTGGAAATACATTGTCAAGTGTCTTATTGTCAGATCAGCTCACACTTCCTAACACGCACAGTCGGAGGATTCGCATCGAGGAAGGTGTTTGTTTGTGGGCTCAAAAGAAAAGGGTTAAAAGTGAGGCCGAGGCAGGGAGGAGGAGAAAAGCCTCTCGGCTGGTTTTGTCTGGTTGAAGTCGGGCTGAATATTAACAAAGTGGATTACGATTGAGTGAGGAATGCTTGTCTTTGTTGAAACCTTTGCGGTGATGTCATCAGTACTTTCCTTGGCACCACCTGGCCAGGAGTCACGGGAGGGGCCACGCAGTTTAAGGCAGCAATCTAGCTGTTGCAATGTGGCCTGATTAGTCACCTGACTCTGTTTTTTCAAAAGCATTTTTCGACAAAAGACAGGCTTCACTCAGCAGTGCCATAAAGATTAGCTGCCTGGTGAACTGTGTAAACACGCTGACAAATCTGCGTGTTTGTGTGAGCAGCATGCAGGAATGTGTGTGGGTGTCGCTGTCTGTTCTCTCCTTGTATATATACTGTGTGATTTAGTGGGGAAAATGGCGTGAATATATATATAAAAAAAGACAGATAAGTTTGAGTGAGTGGAGATCATTAAAAATGGAAATGTGTGTGTGTGTGTGTGTAATGGATAGAAAGTGAGACGGTGGTAGTGAGAGACATCCAAAATAGAAAAAGTGTGTTGGAAAAAGACAGTGAGTGGGAATTAAAGGAGGACTTGTGGCAGAACCCACAGTGCTGATGTTAGCTGTCTGATCCACTGAGAGACAGTTGGCAGTAGACTGCCTACCAGCCGCGAAACTACAGTAATTCAAAGCATGCGACGTGACGCCGTTCCCTGTGAGCTGAGGGAGCGCAGTCACCCACACACACACAAACACACACACACACACACTGCAGCAATACACCTAGTAAAAGTCACAAATGCTCCATTCCACGTGATGCAATTAGTCACAGTTCCAGCAAATTTGGGCTGCAGCTAATCTCATAACTAAATGGCATGGCGCTTCTTAAAAGAGACAGATCATCCAAACAACTGTATGGAATTTAACTTCCTGGTGTCAGTAGAGTAAATAGGACAACTTCAGTACGCAATTACACTTAAACTCAGTGGTGTGCAAAAAGATTGAACGCCTCAATCCATTAGTTGGCCTGCTAACTAAGCTTCTGTTTCAGAGTAATCGGCACAGAGAAGTTTTTTGTTCTTGTCAACTGCACCAAGTCGAAATTCTGAGTATTAAAGATGAAAGTGAAGATGCCACGGTGACAAGGAAAGATCAAGGATCAACAGCACGAAGACAGAGAGAAGGAAACAAAAGAATAAAGACTTGGTGAGAGGAAAACAAGAGTGCAACTTTTGTAGGTTAGTTCTCATGAGCTTCACATGACTTGTATTTAGCCCTTCTCTCTCGCCCCCCCACCTCTTTTTATTCCCCCCTTACCCCCTCTGCACTGAGTGCCCTCCCTCCCTCCTTTCCTCCACCACTTCCCACCCCGCTGTCCCCCCTCCTCCTCCTCCTCCTCCTCCTCTCCGCGCAGCACATAGACTTCCTGTGTGTCCTGGCCTGAATGGTATGTGCATGGAGTGGGTGTCTGGGAGGCCTTTCATCCGGCATGGAAAGAAAAAGAGAAGTCAAGAGAGAGGGTGAAAAAAAAAAAAAGAAAGTGAGAGAAGAGAGTCATCTTTAATCCGTTTGAGTCGGAGCAGTTGTCCAGAGGCGAGCGGGGGGGGGGGCGTATTAGACGGGTTGAGAGGGCTCTGGTTGTGCCAGGGATATGTGTGTGTGTGTTTGTGTGTGTAGCGTCTGGAGGGGAAGAGAGAGGCCTGCTGGGAAAGCCTGCAGCCTGCCCGGGACAGATTACATCCGGCTGGGACGTGGGCTTTGCACAGCTAGATGACCATACTAAACTAGAGCTGGTAGAATAGATCAAATATGAACTAAAGCTCTCATACTCTACTGTGGAGGGAAAAAAGGCTCGATATAATGCATATGAACCATGGCAAAGGTTTGCTGTGACAAAACGCTGATTGTGTGGCACACTGTAATAGAAATGGAATGGGAACCTCGCAGCCCCTGCAGCCTCGTGGCGTTGTCAGACAGGGTGTAGCAGGCTGCAGAGTGCCAGGCCTGACTAGACCCTACCCACACTGTGAAGGGGCATACATGCACGCCTGTGCGACTGCCTCATGTCATGGAAACTACCTACAGCCGCTTGTGTTGTGTGTGTGTGTGTGTGTGTGTGTGTGTGTGCACATGCGCACATCAAATGTCAAGACATGCCTAGACAAGACAACCCCTCAGAAGAAAGGAGCATACAGTGCCATCTGCTGTTGGGGTGTAATTGTCAGTTTGGTCAGAGGAAATGCTGCTGTCTTCACAAATATATATATATATACTGTATATATATATATATATATATATCAGTTATTTATAATGCTGGTGGACTTTTGATTCATATGTAGATTCATACATGTCATCTCTCAGTTTAAGTAACAATGTACTTAATCTAATTAAATTAATTACACGTCATAACACAAGACTTATATCATCATTATTTAAGTTTAAAGTAGTTTGATGCAAAAAAGGATTATTATTACTATGAGTGTTAGATGCTTTACATAAAAGACATGTTATGCGATAATACTGGTACATTAAACAGCAATTTTCAACTTTATTATTCACACACAGAAGGTGGAGTAAAAAAAAATAGAAGTAGAAGCAGAAAAACATTTGCATTCTATGTATTTGGTGTATTACTGGAGGGTAGGATATACATCTTAATGAATTGCTTTTCAGTGTCTAAAAATAAGGAGCAAGCTCATCTTACACAAGTTTCTATTTGAATGGAGCCCTTGTTGTTGCCCACGGCTCTCAAACCAGTGAGTGATACTGTAGATTTATCATGGAACTGACCTTTATTACTGTAGTAAAACACTTGAAATACCTCATTTATATCACTTGCTATTTGACACTTTTATCAAGTATCACCATAACACGAATGCATGGGTGAACCATGTGGGATATAAAACTCTTAACCCTTATGCGGTTAGTGCTGCAGTATATGATATATCTATTGGCTTCACACACATTATTATGTTTATATATTACAAGGATTAATAACACGGCAGATAGGAAAAACAAGGAGCATATTTTCTGTGATATTTATCAGATAAATAAATGCTTTTTCTTGTTTATATATATAGATAAATATTCTTCTTCTTGTTTTTCCTTCTTGCAGTATTATTAAGCCTTGTGTGTTATTAAGTACAGCCTCACAGAGCCGCTGTAGAGTCGCTGTACACGCTTAACAAGTCAAATCTTCAAAATCCTGGGAGTAAATTTAAACGACAGTTGGCCAGAATGATCAAAACCCAAAATGAAGATGAAAGGAAACTAAGATGTATAAACCACAGATACACAGTGCATCCTATATATGCTGTCACTGCATATTTATTTCAACACAATACACTATATACAGTTTCAAAATTGCAAATCTTTGAAAAAGAAAAGAGAGAGAAAAGAAGAAGTTGTATGAAAGGTGATGAGCAGCATGACACTGTTCACCTTCTGAACATAAACATTCATGTTAGCGCATAAATCAAACCGCGAGTGCATTGAGATGTCTCAAATCAAACGTATAGCTATAAATGCATAGCACTGTTTACATAACCCATGGAAAATAAAGTAATAATTACTTCCAGCAGTTTCATGTGATAAATAGAGGGATATGATAAGAAAGGAAAGCAAAGAAATAGAAACAACGACCAAAAAAAACGAGTCATAAAGTTTTGAATGAATCTTTCAACACGTTTGATGAATTGATACACTGTTACTCAACTTAGCATTGTTTTCTATTTTCCCCAAAGCAATGCAGATCTCAAGATAGGAGGCTGTGAGAAAAACACGTTACATCACACGGTCTGAATAAGCTGGAATAGTAGCTCCACTGTAGGCTGGATTGTTCCAAAGACACACAAAATACAGCTTTTTAAAAAAAGTTACACACGACTTTCCCTCTCGCGCTCGCACACTCTCTGGGTCATCGAGTCTATGTGGAAAGGATGCTGACGGACACACTGAGCATCCTCAGGTGACAGACGGTCAAAGCGTTTTTAGTCGGCCTCGTCGTGGCTGTGAGTTCCTGGCATCGGAGATAACGGGTTTAAACGCTTCTGCGTTGTTAGGAAACACCTCTGCCGTGTGTGAAATGTGGGCGCTGTGCATGGCTATGAACATTACAGCTTGCATATAACACTAGTCTTTTGATATGGTGTATAATAAACAAAACAGAAAAACATTCTGCTCAGACTCTGTGATGACAAACCCACATGGAGAGGCACAATTAGTTAGAAAACTGGGATTTTTGATGCTCAAAACACATGGAACTTTTTATATTCTTTTTGTATTTTGCTCATGTATGTAAATATGTCTGCATGTGAGAGAAAGGGGGGGCCTTGGCACGGCAAAGTTGATGAAAAAATTCTGGATTTGAAAAAAAAGTGACATTCAATAAATATAAGAAAACTCAGGATAGTGTGTGAAGTTTTTAAGAGGGCACATACATTGACAACAACAAAAAAACAAACAGTTTTTGTAGTGAGCTTTGGCAGCCTTCAGCCAAAAAAACAAATAATCAATTCCAGTGAAGTTTCAAGGCCTTCTGCCAAAAAGAATTCCAACAAAGCCCAAAGTCATCATCACTCCAGCGACGTCCAGAAAATCTTTACGAGGTGGCATGAATCACAACGTTGTCACCTTTCGTTATGGATCTGCATAGCGCGGCTGGAAATCACTGACAATTAGGGAGTGTGGTGTAACCACTAAAGTAAAAACTTCGACTGTGACGTGTAGAAGCGGGTGCTGCTCAGGGCCCATAAGGTCTTGGCTGTGTCCCTACAGGATAACATTTACATCAAGTCTCACGGTCTGCCTCCTAACGTGTTCAGTAGACCATCAACTTTGTGAAAGGGTGGCTGTCAACACAAATTTGCTTTTTCAAGCTTTCTGTCTACTGGAATCATTAGTTGTTGGGGGAGTTTTTATATTTTCCTGAAGTGTACAGGACAGAGGCACAGTGCATGTCCAACTGCTGCTTACAGATACATATTTTTACGTCCCCTCTTGTCTCCCTTTTGTGCTGGCTGTGATTTATTTTAACTCCACTACCTGCCCAAAAATGTCTCTCTACACAGCTGAGTGTCTTCTCCCATTTCCTTTGATCCAAGGAGAACTGACTGATCCCATCCCAAGCTCAGATACCTCAGAATCTGAGCTTTCCATAAATGTGCTTCGGCAGAAAGACCCGACTGATGATTCAGACGGACTCAGCTCTTTTAGTAATGATACATCAGTGAGATATGTTGTGGGTAATAACTCAGGAAACAGTCTTTCAACTCGGGTGATTCTTTTCTCTTTTGAGAGCGGCTACAGTGATAATATTTTCCCAAGAAAAAAGGCGGTACGTCTGGCGCCATTAGCTGCAGCTCTTCAGGAGGTCCCGTGTACCGTACCAGACTTTGAATAGGTGAGATTGCTCTTCCAGGTGGCACCGTGGGAGACATTCATCCACAGTTGTCAGCGCGTTGGAAGAAGTTTGGCAGAAAATCCACGTGTGACTGAAAAAAAAGGAGCCGTTGATCAAAGGAGGAAGAATCAAGTCTCAGGAAAATCCGCTTGCTGTAGAAAAATGTCAGAGTAGTCCTCAGTATGGGAGTAACACATGCTGGTGTGCTATATTAAGGACTAATGATGGAACAAGCTGGTCCCAATCACTGCACATTGTAACCACTTAAATGCTAATGCTAGCTACCAGTAGCATCAAGAGGTTACAGTAGATTACCTTCGGTGAGGATGGTGAAAACAATATAATGTGACTGAAACATGTGATTTCTTAATTGATGAGCTTAAAGGATCTGTACATTAGAGCACATGAAAAGGTAGGACTGGTTACTTCTAAAAGTCTGGTTCCAGCTTCTAAAGTGTGAATATTTGCTTTTCTTTCTGATACCAAACTAACTATCTTTGGGGTTTGGACTGTTGGTAACAAACAAGACATGAAAATATGTCAACTTGGGCTTTGGGAAACTGTGATGGATTGTTTTTATTACTTTCTAGTAATTTACAGACCAAACCGATATGATCGATAATGAAAATAATCATCTGCTGACCCCCCCAGTTACTCAATGCATGTTTACACATAACTTCTGTCTTAGTAGTAAGCATGTCATGTTTTAACTCCACGTAGATTTGTTCAATGATACGTGTAGTTGTAATGGGTTAAAAAATACAAGGACAAGCTGCCTGTTAGCCTGCATGAGATTGTGTCACTGGTTAACGAGACTGTTTCTGTTCAAATATCATGTTAGTTTATGTTATTTTCGTGATTTTTACTAACAGTGGATGTTGCCAAGTGTTAACTCTGGCCAATAGAGACGTGTCTTACATTTTACGAAGCAAAACTTTCGGGCTCGCAAACAAAACTTTTGGCTTCACATTAAAAAAAAATTCAATCACAAATTGATTTGACTTCCTTTTGCTCTCAGACCAATTCTCTTTGAAACTAAAAACACAAAGTAACTCCATATACTTCAACCACTTTATAATATACTTTTAAACAAAGCACAGAGAAGAGACTTCACTCTACTGTATTTGACATGCTTAGTTGAGGGTTTGCATCCTGCAGTCTGTATTCATCGTGTCAGCGGCCTCCTTGTGAGACAGTTTCTTCCAGGTGTAAATGCATTCCAAGCGTTGGCCTTCTTACACTGTGACCTTTTCAGCCGATAGTGGAGAATGAGTCCCTCCTAACAGAGTTCTGTCCGTACATGTGGTGCTCTGTGATCCACACAGATGGCTTACTGATACACTAGTTTGATTATTTGGCATTTGTGGCTCATTGAAAACAGATTTTCAGGATCTCAGACTATAAATGACATTCATATCCTCTGTGATTATATATCATATTTCCATTATTACACAAATCAGCCGGTATTTGCTTTTCCACTGTAGAGCTTTAATATGAAACTGGGAGCCTGAGTTAATCAAAGGAATTGCTTGAGATTTTGGGAAATTATCTTATTTGCTTTTGTGCCAAACATCTGAAATGTTCCCAGAGTGGTATCAATCTTTTCATTTAACTCTATGCAAGAAAGTGAAAAGCTTATTTCCATGCTGAGATACGACTTTATATACCTCTAAGAAGGAACGACAGCAGGATCTGCCAGTCAAACTTAAAGGGTGCTTACGTGGTTCTTCTGGATCTTTCTAAAAGTTGGATTTTATATTTAAATGTTTCATCTCTCTGCTGAATGCAGTTTTTGAAGATTTACTGTAGTTGATTTCTCCACCGTACAGTTTTTCTCAATACTTGAATTCATTAAGTAGATGAAAAGAGAGAGAGCCAACACCGAGTTCAACACAAAGTCACTTTATCATGTTTGGGGGCAGGTGGAGCAAATCTAGCTGGGAGGAGAGGACAGAGGAGTGGGGTGGGAGTCCGCTAAGTGTCTCCAAATAATGACATCCAGGTTTGATCCAAAAGTAGGCAGCTCAAATGAAGCCACACATCAAATAAAAAAAAATCTGGAAAAAAGAGGAAGTCCCAGAGGGTCTTGAAAGCACACAGCACTTAACCAGCGCCAACAATTTGTAGAGTATTTAATGCTCCCACTGTCTCCTCTGGTACCAAGTCACTTCTGACACAGAGAGTGAACCAGAAGTTGATCGTTATGATAATGGGGGTCGGTGCATCTCTAACTGCATCGGGATAACTTATCCTCCTCTGCAGCCGCTGCTTTGACAATGTGTTCTGCAAGTGGGGTTGAAAGTGTTCTACACGTGGGTGTTTCTTAAAATGACTGTTATCCACGGGATCACTGCCAATTCAGCACTGTTTTTACGGTCACCTCTTACCCAGCATGTGGACATTTTAAATGCTAATCAGTGTCAGTTTCTGTATATCCAATATTCCCTACTGTCTGTTTCCTCCTCTAACTCCTGCGCTAACATCAGAGACACGCTGCAGAAAAGCAAAAAAGAAGCATTAGGAGATCTGGAAAATGAATGACAACAAAATGACATTACACCAAACATTTTTTGACAGCCCAGAGGACTGTTTTGGGGGCAAAGTGTCAGCACATCCTGATCCTGGGAAGGTCACAACTCCAGCCTTGATTGGCAGTCTGTCTAAAACACACTCCATCCTACGCGGAAAGTCCTCCTCACACAGATATCCATAATCCTTCAATACAGGTTATCAAACTTGTCAGGAGTTGACATTTCTCAATCACAGATGGGTGTGGGATACTTATATATCTCTTTAAATGTTTCTCAGTAACACAAACACTTCCCCACTCATTTCCTTAGTCCCGTCTGTCTGCAGGTGCTATTTGGTTTAGCAGAGTTGTTCCTTTAGTAACAGTCCAAAACCGAGTTCCCTGCTGTCTTCTTTGTCTCTCCTCCTCCTCACCACCAGGTCAGCTAGTACACCTGATCATCCGTGTTCATGCAGTAAAGGTTCATCATTATCTGTGACCTGCCGCAGACCCGCCCTACCCAAGTTTAGTGAATTCTGAGTCCGGTTCTTCTCTGCTGCAGCCCAGAGTGGCGGTCCTCGGGGACTGGACCTTGCCGATTTCCTCAAGGGCGCTGGCCAGAGAGTCCAGGTCCCCCGAGTCCTGGTGCTGGGCTTCCCACAGGCTCAGAATCACTGATGATGGGCTCTCCTGACATGCAAAGTAGCACAGGTTCCTACAGACCAGGGGAAACAGAATACTACATTAGAGTAGATCACGTGGAAAGGAGTAATTGCTGAGAACAAATGAAAGTGCCGGTTAATGGTGGCTCATCAGTGATTGCCTTGCACTAATTATGATAAGACGGCCAGTGCGAAGACATTTTTAAAGGCGTACTCCAGTGATTTATTATCGCACTTTCATACACTTGCATACCTCACAACAGAATGAGCTAATTTAAAGCGTCAGAGGCCGAAATATCCTGACTTTTACCCTCTAGTGTCGGTCAAACGCCAAGAAACACTGGATCCTACATTTCCCATGAGACAACTCAGGAGAGTCTTCCATTAGACCGCTTCACTTGTTCCAGACTCCACACCCGGAGTTTATACGGCCTGATGACATCACTATGACATCATCAGGGTGTAGAAGATAGTTCCCTTTTTGAAACGTAATTTCTTAATGTCTGACTGTACAGACATCTGTATAGTCAGTCAGTAATTGTCAGCTAAGATTAAGTAAACTGGTTTGACTTCAGGTCAACAACAGTTTGGATGCAGTGATATTCAGTGACCACATGGTTTAAAAGCAGCGTTTCCTTTGCATTGATTCTCCTCCCGCTTGCTGTTATAACGCCCATCCAACAGAGTGCACTGTTTCATTACGATGGGATTTCCTTCGTTGCCTCCTACCCTCTTTTCCTCTTCATCCCACTTTCCCTCCGATGTTCCCCCAATATTCAGAGAAAGAATGACAAAAATCAGCTTAACTACGCGGAGACATCCCCGTGACACGCTTATTGGTGTGTTCGACTGGGCCGGAGAGAAAACCCCGTCTAAAACCCTTTCCTGTTCCTCAGTCACAGATGTTTGTTTTCAGCCTCGGTTTAAGTGAAATTCCTTAATCACGTAGTTTCTGTCACAGTTTCTTAGTTAACTTTTCCCTCTCATGTTTCTCCAACTGGCAAGCGAGAGAGAATACTCATTTCCAGTATGTTTTTCTTCCCTCAACTGCCTGATGGAGCTGACTGCACAGATCTAATCTTCCTCTTGAAGATTATCTTATTGACTTCTCTTCTGAAGCACAAATAGAGATCAACCCATTCCAAACAACTGAAATCCTCCACAGCCTAAGCAAATACTGACCTGGAAACAACCTCCGGGAAGTAAAGGAGGAGCACATGCAGAGATGCTGCTAATGATGAGCGCTAACATGAACCCATTTTCCTGCCAGAGGGCCGGGCCTGTCAGCGGTCACAGACCTTCCATCTTCTTTCTGCAAAAACACGGCATCTTATCTCCAGTTGTTCTGACTGTGCTGAAGTTGGCCCTTACACCCCCCCCCCCCCCCCCCCCCCTCCCTGTCTCCCTCTTCATCTCTTTCAATCTCTGTGTGCATGTGTTTCCAGATCTATAATGAAATCAGCAGCGTGGCGTGTACTGAAGGCTGGTTGGTGATGGAAGATTAGGGCTGACACGGTGCCTAAATTCCAGATTAAAAATAGTATTCAAAGTGGGAACAGTTTACACAGAGGAGAGACCAGTGAATGCAGCATTTCATCATTCTGCAACAACACCTGGACTAAAACCTACCGGCTGATTTGTATCGGAGCTGCCGTGACTCATCGAAAGGTAAATGACAACTGCATGCAATAAAGAATGATGATGACAATGCAGGTTTCTGCAAGTCGGACACCCTCTGATACCTGTCTATGTGGAGCTTTTGAGCCAAGAGCTGCCAGTCCTTCCCCTTGGCGTTAGCGGTGTCAAAGGTGGCGCTGATCCGCTGACGGATGGATGGGGGGATTTTAAAGGCCCTTGACCCTGTCTGAGAGGTGATGGTACAGTCTGACTGAGTGAAAAAGGGAACCACTCCCTTTTCATTCTGCCAGCGAGGAGAAAAAAAAAAGGAAAGAAGAGAGGTGTCAGGGTGATATTCATACCGCGGCTGAAATTCTCAATATGAACACAAGGACAAGGACTTAGCAAGACAATTTGCAATCTATACATGAAAAGCTCCCTGAGAGGCTCATTAAGCAAGCCCTTAAATCAAATCAAGAGTCATCCAGTGTAATAAAAGAAGCTATTAACAAGCCCGCTTGACCGCCCCGCGTGCCGAGGACACGCCGTCCGTTTCTTTCGCAAGCGCCACTCACCTCCACCACCGACGTGTAGACCTGGAGTATCTGCTCCTCGCCTTTGACCTGTCGGATGCTGATCTTGCAGGAGAGCTGCGACGAGGAGTGGCTGTATCGCTCCAAAGAGAAGGCACACTGCAGGGGACGCTGGTTACTGGCCCACACCTGAGAAAAGGAGAACTCCTGCAGAGCGGGGACGGAGGGACGGACGGACGGGCAGGGAGCACAAGGAAAGGGTTAACACAGTGGAACAAACTCATTAAATCAAAATACATTAGTTATTTGAGTCCTGCTTTGTCACCCACTTTGCCGTTTACGTGATTAATTAAGACCAAATGAGTGGCCTCTTTAGCCAATCAATGAAGTTACCTAATCAAGCAGTTTACCCATCAGACAGAACACCGACAGGCATTTAGAGCCCGAGGGATGAAAATGTATCCCGCTAACATCTGAGAGAGCCGGAGTCATTAGTGCAAAAATGTCATAAATTATACATTATACACAAACTGACTGTTGCCTGGGAGAAATAATCAAGTTAGAGCCAAAACTACGATTAATCAATTAAATGTCAACAATGAAATTAATCGCAAAGTATGTTGTATTTGATTAAATGGTTTGACTAATAAAAAAATTTAAAAAAGATTCTAGGTTTTCTAAATGTAGTGGACAAGTAACTTTGTATTACTTTTGCATTATAACCAACAGTGTGGCTATCCGAACATGCAATCATAAGGTCAATAAATATTACAGACATAAGCTCCCATCATTTGCCTACATAGTCTACGTAAATACATAAAATAATCCTGTGAAGATTGTCTAAATAAGCGTACAGCCCATAGCATTAACTTCAGACTCCCCAAGCCATATTTACCTCCTTGTTGGTGTGTTGTGTTTTCTTTCCTAAATTATTATAATATGCCTTGAATATTCTCGTAAACAGCAATCTGTTAGTTCAGGAACTGTAATGTGATTATGGAATTAGGACAGAGATGCCTTGATTTACCCAGTTTGCACTACATTTCCCCCGAATAGTGGCAGCTGAAAAACCAAAAAGTATCAGAGCTTCGGAGTAAATGGAATCGAAAAAGCCAATTTCGACTTCCATTACTAACTACTGTGTGACCCAGACAGTGGCGCAGTGAGAACAGGTCAAAAACAGTGTTTTATGGATGAATCATCCTCTCTTCAGATCCATCAGACAGGAGGGCGGCTGCTTGTAAAAGCGTCCTTCAGACAAGAGTGGTGTCTGAATGAAAGCCTACGGCCCATCTTCCCTGTAGGACCCTCACATAGTGGCTCTTCTCTCTCCAAGACCACCTTGTTGGTATTCTGGACGCGCTATGGTGGGCTAATCCTGCTAGTAGGATCTCACTGGTGGGATAAACATCACAGGCAGAGCACAACATGCGGCATGTAAGACCCCTAAGATAACTAGGAGACGTGTGTGCGTGTGCCTGGCAGTCATAATTAATTTTGTAAATTTGTGTGTGTGTGTGTGTGGGGGTGGGGGAGGGGATATCTAGCATTAGTGAGCTCCTGCTGTGCCCTTGCTGCCGTCCTTTTGCTTTGATGAGACCGAGCAAGAAAAAGGGGGAAACTGGTCGACAGTTCTGATGGAGGAACAGAGGAAGCTGAGGAGATGAAGGTGCACAGCTTCTCTCTGTGACCCTGATACAGCAGAGCTAGCTTTACATCGGAAGTGCACGTACAGGAAAACCTGATCGCTGATTAATTTCCTCTTAAACTGAATCACACTAACTCAAAGTTGGGATGACATATTTTTTCAAAAAACTGACATTTCCAGGTTTTAGCAGTACTTTATAAACTACCTACCTGGCAGGTGGTGAAAGGCTTGATGCTCCAGAGTAACTGTGGGACGTCCTGGATGGACACCTGGAGGCTGAAAGTGTTCCCCCGGAACAGCATCATTTTCGGCTCCTCCAGCAGCCGCCCGCCCCTGCTGCGCTCGCCAACTGCCACCTCCTGATAAGGAAAAGCGTGGGTTGTTTTTTTTCGGGGGTAAAAAAAAAAGGTAGATATCTCATATGGTTGATAGAGTCCGTGCACCAAGCCAGGACTCAGGTAGAGCACACAGCTTTTCAAGTAGAACAAAAAGTTTCTATTGATATTTATAATAAACCTGAATCACACAGGAAACACGGTTTATGGGGTGAAAAGCTGAATAATAAAAAAAAACAAATAGAAACGTAGTTGATTAATCAAATCAATAGTCAACTGCTTTGACAATCAATTCATCGTTTTAATTTCTTAAACAAAAATAAGATAGATAGAAGATAGAGCTCTTATTTATGCAATTGCAGTACAAAGTGGGAAAGAGTGCAAATACAATGAGTGTGCTTAAAAGTAAATATAAATACAAATACACTTGGCATGATTTTGTGTTTCTGCAGTGGGGGCCTGAGACAGTTTGGGCTCCTGGGTCTGAACCTAATCGCCCCGTTCAGTTAGGGGCAGTGAGTCCGGTATGCAAGGTGCTTTTCCTCTCACTCACACAGCTCAGAGACAGAGAAGGGGAATGCAAAGCATACTGGCTGACTACAACCTGATCAATTCCTGCTTCAGGCTCACAGGGGAAATTAATTGTCCTATGAAGCACAAACAAAGGCCAACAAAAAAAAGAAAGAACAAATAACCATGTCTGACTGATGGAGAGGTGGCTCTTGGCCCCTACATTTAATTAATCTTTGATCACATGCAATTCTACATCTTGAATGAAGCCAAAAGTAAAAGTAAGTTTGGTGGCTATACAGGACGACTACCAGCACTACTTTAGAAGTAGTTAAGCTGTATGTGAGTGTTTAATTAAGATAGGAGATAAAGTTTTGGCGTCAGAATGCTTGAACAGAAAGATGCATGTTTGCGGAAAGGGCAAACTTCCCTCAAAGCACCGTTCACCAGCACGGCGACGAACCGGCGCTGCATTCGCAAAAGCGTCTCATTTGAACGTGTTCAAATACTCGTCGCGTAAAAAGCAATGTTGAAACACCTTTAATTAACAGAGAGCAAATTAAATTACGCAAAGAAAGGGCAGAGAAGCAACCTTGGAGCATCTGTTGTCTTTGTAATTAAAAGTCCCTCTTTGTCTGCTAGTCATCAAGCATCTCCCAGTGGCAATGTTACTGAGCAGGCAGATCTTCAGTGGAGCACAAAAACAACAACCCAGACAGCAACTCTCCCAGGCAAAACCACCAAACCAGTGCAATTTAAATTTCTTAAATCAAATATTTATACGTTATAGTAGAATTCTGCCACATTTTTGCCACACTAGAGGACTGAAGCATCTCGAGAATTATTAAAAGGATTGCCATGAAGTTCTGAAGGTACATCAATTCAGCCTCAGCTGTACTTTGTTTGTGGTGCTAAATGGCAAACGTCAGCACGCTAACACCTTAGGCTACGACGGTGTCAACAGTAAATGCATTGCGACATTAGCATTCAGCTTAAAGCACCACTGTGCCTATGTACAACCTTGCAGAGGCCAGGGCACAGAGTAGGACTTTCCTTTCTTTTTGTTTTGTTCTCCTGTCGTGTACAACAGAGTGCTTCATCAAAGCCTTCTTTCACCTATAAGAAACATCTCTCTGTTTTATCCATGGTTGAGGCATATTCATGCCAGACTGAATTATTGTAACGTTTCCTGGTCAGCCACTAGCAAGAATCTGAACAGAACCTTTGACCATATTCCATAAGTTTTAGCTTTCCCCTTCATGATTCTGACGACGCCCAAAATTGTAAATGGACACGCCCCTTCCTACCTGTCTGATCTCCTTAAACCTTATACTCCAATCAGGACTCTGCGCTCTCAGAATACAGGACTCATATCTGCATAAAACCCTCTTCCACTGGAATAATCTCTTTAAATCCAAACTCAAAAACACGTCTTTTTTGTCTTAAACCTTCAATTAGTTGCTTACTCTTTTATGTTTGTTTGGGGAGTTTTTCCTCATCAATTCTAAGCAAATAACTTTCTCATTACATTGAATCATCCCCGGTTCTTCCTCGTTTCCTTCTACATCCTCCCTCTCCCCTCGTACCTGAAAAGCATGGGGCGTGTCGTCCACACAGTAGACCCTGAGGGTGAAGCCCAGGGAGTTGCTGGTATCTGGACTACCAAACACAGCCAGCCTCAGACGCTTGGCCGCATCCTGGTTCAGCGGCTCGCCCACCAGAGCGTAGCGACCCGGATGCTCCAACAGCACGTGGCACCTCTGGGTCTCCAGCAGACAGTAGCAGGACGTGCTCTCCTCGTCCACACACATCACTTCCTTTGGAGGGAGGATCAGGAGAGACCATGTTTAGTTCTGATGCATTAAACACCTATTCGAGCCATTAATAGTTCATTTGAGGGTTAGTCATGAGAAAAGCTCAATAAGGTAATGCTGTCTCCCTGAAGGGCTTTTTGAGGATCCAGCACCCACCTTTATCCAGTGGGGCTGAGAATACTGATTAATGATGATTAACATTTCAATTACTGCCAAGAATTTGTTTGCAGAGGAAGAAAGTGGCTTTAACTTAACCATCAAAGAGAAAGCTGAACACCAGGCATTCAGCCAGTGGTATGTGAGCAACACCGAGGGCAGAAACATGGTCCTACACGGTCCCACGCTGATGATGAATGCCTTGCTTAAATGGCACAAACGTGCGACACTGATGAACATACTCAATGTGCCGCTCTTGGTGGTAATAAACGTTATTCCTCAATGGGGCGATACCAGAGCTGTATACGGCGTCTCTGATGTACTTAAAGCACATAGAGAAGAAAAGAAATAAAACCACGCGTCCAAATAAACAGGTGACAAAATGTCATAAATAAACAATAAATGCTGAGATAGAGCTACGTCAAACTGGTCAGCCGTGATTCTGAGCAGAAGGAGTCAGCTTTCACTTGTTTCACGTTACAGACAGCGTTACAGTTTTCAAACGACACATCCCCAGAATGCAACGACGTCGGAAATTGATCTTACGTAGCTCGAAGCGTCTGAGTACTTGCTGGGATGTTTCTGCCCCAATCATTGCAAAGATGGTTGATCTATAATTCCATCTATTATCTATGAAGTTGTTACCATGTAGAAAAATACACAAAGAGAATATAAATGGCAACAATGTTATGTAACAGACCATGAGAGCAGCCGTTTACAATCAAGAGGTGCCCGAGTTGTTTAAGGATATTATTAAGACACTTCACAGACGATAAACTGGAAGCCTTCCCTCATACACTCAGACTCAGAATCAGGAAATGTGCAGAACTGAACGTCGGCCAAATGAATAATGACACATCAACTAAACAGATGGGGATACAGTAACACTGACAAAACGGATTAGCAGGGAACAGTTGTATCCGATGGCCAATTGCTCCTCATCTTGTGCTCAATCCTCCCTAAATCACCTCTGAAACATCACCGTGACCAACAGGTCCCCTCTGCATATGGCCCGGCTGAGCCATATTAAGCAATGTAGGGTAATTTAGTGGCCCACAGCTTCCTAAACCTGCCCCATTAGCACTGCAGCAGACATGAAGGTTCTCCACTACATAGCTCATCCCCGCCAGGCAGCTGGGGAGAAATGATGGAGTCAAACTCTGGTGGTACAAAAGTGCAAGCTTTAATGGAAATGGCACTGAGAGGCAGCGAGGGAGAAGGGGGAGAGAGACAGACGGAGGGGGAGAGAGACCTCCGTCTCCCATTATATTACTAATTCCAGAGATTAGGTTTTGAGTAAGCACCCTTCCTGAGATTATTATCATTATCATTATTTCACAGTGACAGAGACGGGTCACGCCGTTACATTTTCTTGGAGAACATCTCCCCTTCTGTCTCTGAACCTGTCTACGTCTGTCTCTTCCTCTCTCTCTCTCTCTCTCTCTCTCTCTCTCTCTCTCTCTCTCTCTCATAGTCTCTCCTCTGCGATGGCATATAGCTACCATCAGTGACGGCTCTTTTGATAGCTCCTTTTTGTGCAACACGTCCGCTGGCAAATTACGTCTGTGTAAATGTCACCGGGAGTGAAAGGACCCTGCCGGGGAGCGAGAGCTTACAGGCCCTCCGAGGTCACGCAAACCCGGTGGGTCTCGGGGGGTCACCCTGCCTCGATGAGGTCCGCGAAGCTTTTTGATGAGGTTAGTTAAACATTAAAAGAGCATCTTATATATACGTGTGTACTCTACCGAGGCGGTACAAAATGGATGGAGGGTGTTTGGACTGAAGTCTGAACAAGTCTCTGCAAGACTGTGAAGCAGCTCTACAGGACAGAGTTGAAGGACTTTTCAGAGGTGTTATTTTACTGAAAGTGATGTGAGAAAAGAAATCACAGCAGCAATCACACGATGCTGTATTTAGAGCTATGGACTCTTGAATATTTCAAAAAAGCTCACTTGCCAGTTTTTTTTATCTGTTTTTGACCACACGCTGAAGTATCAGACTGAACTAGGTTCATACACTTTTTAGCAGTTTAAATATATATATATGTATATATTCTATTTTCAATACAGGGGCATATTTTAACTGGAGCTTTTCGTCTTTCAAAGAGTAGCTCTGTTTCAGTCATTTCTTCTGTCTCTGGCTACGACTGACTCACTCCCTCACTGTTGCTAGGAAGTAGTTATTTGTTGCCATTTGATACATAATGGTTTATTATATTTGATTAGGAAGAAAATCATCATTTTGAAGCAGCTAGACGTATTTGGCGGATGGTATTTTCTGTTTTTCACAGGACTCCAAATCTAAATCAGTCACAGTCACGGTGGTACCGGCGAGTATAATAATTGTTTTCACAAGAATAATTGAGACGATAAATACACCCTTGTGGCTTTATCTACTATCTCTCTTTATAATAAATAACAAAAGACAAACAGATATACAGAATGTGCGATATGTACACACATTATCGTAATGTAATTGGTGCCTGTTGCGTTATATTTTATGAACAGCTGCAATGCAGAATTCACAGACTCGTGAAAGAGGAATGCTTTGAAACACCATCATCATTATACTGGGGGAAAAATAAATGAATGTTTCAATGACTAACAGCCGCCATTTGCATTTGGTCTGACATTTCTTTTGGATGTATGACAGCATGAGGTAGAGCTTGAAAGGCTGGATTTTTATACAGAATGACGAATCTGAGCTGGCAACCCTGAAATGTGCTCCCTGCTTGCATGACTACACTACAGGATGAACATTTTCATCAAAGTAAGTGGCAGCAGCTTTATCAGATCGCTTTTGATATTCTGGCCGCTGGTGAAAGTTGTGTGTTCGCACTTGTTAACATTCTGCACTGATGTTACAGCAGAGAACTTGGACTCGAAAACAACAGCTGAAGTTTAATAGAAAATCGCTCACCTCCCACTTGTTGTCCTGCATTTGTCTCTTTAGCCGGATGGTCCAATTATCGGCAGCAACCTCCGCACAATGGGCCACGGTCATGGCTATGGGACAGGACAGGTCGAGGCCCGGTGGGCCATACGTGACCGCGGGGCTCAAGAAGATCTCTGGCCCGTCCTCGGACACAGTACTGCACACACAGGGGGAAAGTGGAGGCACAGATTAAAATGACAGATATCATGAAACCACAATCATTGATGAGGAAAAAAAAAGCAAATTTATATTTCTCTGAATTTAAAAACACCAAAAAGGGTTTTAAGACGGTATGAAAATGAAGACAACAAACATCACAGCTAATGAATCACTGCTTAAACAAGCATTCAGCTAGCAGGGTGCAGGACCTCTTGCCTATGAACAAAGTAAACTCAAATCCTTGGACACGCATAATGAATCAATCCCTGACTAGCTGACACACAGGCACACAGATAGAGGAAGATTAAAGCACCAAGACTAATGGACAGTGGGGCTAGGGAGGACAGGCTTTAGCACACAGCGTGTAAGCTTTGTGGGTCGATGGAGCTTATGAAGCCTGCTCTGGCCGGCCCGGTGACAGATTAGCTGGGCCAAGCTGCTCTTGGCCAGGGGCCCAATCTTGGCTGGAAGCCCTGAAGACTGAGAGCAATCAATGGGACCACCATCAGTCATGCAGCTGGCCCGGCTCGACACCTCGCATATACGGGACACGATGCTGCTGCTGTTGTCACTGGGGCAGCGTGGATATTTCTCAACATCATTAATGCTATGGCAGCGGGGACACAGTCTGACATGCAGGCACAGATGCATCCCGGATGTATAAAGTGCGTGTGTGGACCCACACGAGTGTGCACACAAATACAGGAAACACCAACAGAGTGAGAAGTATCATTTTTATGGGTCACACTTCTCATGTTGACACATAAACACAGTTCCACTGTGTATGACCAAGTATAGTGCTGTGTCTCAACACCATTCTAATTCCAATTTATCTCCCTATATTCACGTTGATTTGATTTACTTTCCTGTTCCATATATATTATAGTTATCTTTTTAAATCTTCAAACTCAGAAAACATCAATTCTAGTGGAGCAGGATGATCAAGTTGTTTCCATCCTTGAAACAATAACCTGTAAGATGAATGGCTGCTGTTTTAGGAATAAGACGGAGGTTGAAAGGTGAGGGTTGATGTATTAGCATGCGTGTGTGCGTGTGTGTGTGTGTGCGCAGGGTAACTCTCCCACGCAGTGTTGTTGAGTTTTTTTTTGGCTCCAGCTATTTGAACAGTTTGTGGTGCAGAGAATTGTGTGAAACTTTGTCATTATAATGTTACCAATCAAAATAATTAAGAGTTCAAGATCTGCCGTTTAAAAATAATATCACGCATCCAGACAGCACCGTGGCCATGCAGCTGCACTTTTGTGTTAATAAGCCCTGGGCTCAGAGGAAACCAAGGTACCTGCTGCTGAGACTATGATAATTAGCCAGATTGCCTGTGAGCACAGATTAAAGATGGATATTTAGCATCTCTGATTGTGGTTTTGAGAACAAAGAAGAATCTCTCCAGGATGATGGTTAAAGTTTAGAGAATGGACCGCGGCTATTAGTTAAGTCTTGACTCATATGTGCAGAACACGCCTCTTTCACTCTTTCACACAAAAGCATCCAGCGTGACACTCATTGCTTTTTTTTGTTTGTTTTTGTCCCACAGTTACAAATAACATTTTGACAACGCCTCATTAGTGTTTGACAGTCGGCCTTTCAGGCTCTCACTGAAGTATGAAGTCAGGCTTTAAAAACATTACCAACAAAAAACTAAGTTGGAATCTTATGAATTTAATATTTATACTTAAAGGGTCAGTTCACCAAAATAAAAACAAGAACAATAGGCCATTGTGGTGTCATCGGAAATAATGGGTTTCAGAACGCATTGTTGACGTTGTCGCTTTCTGTGTGAAAGGACCTTAAAATGCACTAAAAGCTATGTAAAGAACGGAGAGCGTCTGCATTCTCTGCTTAGGTAAACATTATTCCACTCTATCTTAACATTGCAAATAGCTGTTTGCTGCTATATTCATGCTCTGAATGTCGAATAGAGAACCTTCAGGTGGAGTATCTGGCTTCAAGAGGCTTTTGTAAAGTATTCAAACTAAATAAAGTTGGTCAACTCGGTTGATACTAACAGGGCGGTACATATAGCATGACTTCAAAAGCAGCCACCAACCAAAATATCAAAAGGAAGCAAAGTTTGAGGCACTAGTAATTGGTGCTTCCCTGCAAAGTATGATGAAAAAAAAGAAATGAGGCTGATACTGCTGAAACTTGTCATCCTATCAGGCATTTTTATTTTTTTTGTCGCACACTATGATTCTGTCCTTGGACTACCCACTGCCCCCCCGCTGAGCTGGAGAAGATCACACACACAGAACAACCTCGTAAAGCCCAGAGGACGAACGAACGAACGAACGAGAGCTCTCTCAAACACCTGAAACCGAGCCAGAGCTGATCGATTCACATTCTTTGCGGAGGAAAGCATCGTCTTATGCAGATGGCCGAGTTTGAATGGGAAGAAAGGATCCAATTTCTGCCCCGGACTCTGCGGCTGTCAGAAGATAGGCTTTGAGTGACAGCTCAGCGGGGCACGGCTCCCGCGGCTTCTTAAACGGCAGCCAGAGAAGTAAACAGCATCAGGCTTATCAGAGCAGAGCAGCAGCCCGGAGGGCAGCAGCTTGGCTGAATTGGGGAGACTCGGAGGCAGGGGAGTGTATAACCGGCCCGCTAACCGAGCTCCGAGCCACAACCTAGAAGTGACCTCCGATCTGTATCTTTACCTAGATGACCCTCGGCCACGTAATGGGTGGGTGGAGGTGTGCTGAGATGACGGTCGGATTTCATATGCCAATAAATGTCACTTTTGATTCTCCCTCAGACGCAGAAATCAAATTTCTTTTAGAGGCACAGGCGGTTAGCCGTGTTGTTACGGCAATATCTCGCTGGCGGGGCTTTTCACACAGACACGCTGACACATTGATACTGTCTGCCATAAATCAAGAACACGTCCAAAAGCTGACTTCTGGTTGTCAGATACCCTTTGAGGCGCTGAAGTCAAAGGTATTACACCCCTTTTCTTCAAACGCTTCTTATCTATCACGCCATTTTCTCCTCAAGTAATAGCTTTGTGGAAAATCTCGACGTCAACGTTACAGAAATAGAATCCCGCTGGCAGGCAACAGCCAAATGCCTTGTCAGTATCACCATGACTTTACGGAGTTCGCGATATTCACCTCTCCAACCAGTCACGACAGAGGAGCGATATTGTCACAGGTGCCTCTTAAAAAACACAAAACAGGCTAGAGCAGAGCCATGGAGTTTATCCGTCTCTGCCGAGACAGTTGCTTAAGGCAGCGATGCAATCTGTTTGTAGCTGCCGATGTATTCGCGACACATCGTGTCCTCCCCTGTAGTGACTGCGAGATGAGCAAAGGACCCCATGCTGGGCGGGTGCATGTCTGTATGTGTACTGTACACGGGCCCGCGCATTCTCCGTGTGAAAGGATCAGCGTGTGTGTGTGTGTGTGTGTCTGTCTGTTTGTGGTGCACGTTTGGCAAAGAGAGGGTGGAGACGGCGTGTCGGGGAGAAGAGGGATGAGAGATGCGGCGTGACGGGTTGGAAGATTAAAAGAGAGCGGCCTACGAAGCAGACTGCGCCGCCTCAGTGAGAGTCCCTCACCTGCTGTCCTCCTGGTTGATGATCATGTACGTTTCCCAGGTAGTGTCTTCTGCGATCCCCCCGTGAGGCACCAACAGACTTATACCT